TGGAATGGCCCAATTATAGGAAAAAGGTATATTTGGTGGATTTTATTTTCACTGAATCATTCCTTTAGTGAAAATAGCGAAAATGAATTCCAAGCAAAAATAAGTATTTCACAGTATATTGTAAAGGCCAGCTTTCAGATCATTTAATATAATTGAATGAATTTTGGTGCATAATTATTTCTCAAATACCTAAAAAAACTTTTGGATTTTATCTTCAGCTCTCCTTTCTGTATTCTATGTAAAGTATATGTATGTAGTGCAACATGTTTATGAATTTTTCTAGAATTTTGTTGTTAATTTTGAACCAAATAGACCCAATTTTATGTTTCCTATATGTTTCTATCAAAATGTTTTGAAAAATGGAAAAAATTGTGAGTTTAATTTTGTGTATTGTGACAAAAGGTGACTTTGGCAGTAGAAAGGTTAAAGTAACACATTCGCCACACACAGCACATGTTCAAATTTTTGTGTAAACGAATATGCAATTTAAATTTCGCATGGTATGACATTCAAACACTATGCAGCAATTTAAATAAATTAATTACAAGAATGTGTCTGTATTTATTACCTGTAGTACGGTGTGTGGTGACACGGCATTAAAAACACTATTGATGGCAATTCATTCTTATTCTTGGCATTGGAACACATGTTTTGTAAGTATGGCATGACATCCATAGTCCCTCGTTGATGTAACATGCCGAAATACAAAGCCACAGGCAGGTTGGTTATCAACAGACCAAGTATCAGGAAGGAAGCAAAGGAAATCTTCTTGCTGTACATGTGCAGTGATATACCTAATAAGAAATGGAGAAATGCAGTACTGTAAAAGGGGTTAATTATTCACTGGGTTTTTAATTTTGCTTATTTCGCTAACTTGAAAATGTGCTAAATTAAAACCCAGTGAGTGTAAAATTTAGCATAGAACACATTATCTAAATGATAAAACCATGAATTTAAAGCCCACTGAATATGCCTTAAATAGTAAATCAGCGAAATTTTAACCCAGTGAAAATAAGTCATTTTACAGTATACAATGTGATGACAGGTAATATCTTCCTATGTACAACAAATAACTACTGTATTACACTGTGAGAAGTGTTATAACCAGATAAAAATTCAATCAGAAAATAATGGGTTGTCCTATTGTCTGTGATCAGATCATCAGTGATATAATAGTCGATGACACCAAGAGTGATTAATTAAAGTCGTATCATATAATAAGTCTTGTCATATCATATCATATTGAATCGTATTGTATTGTATCATATCATACATATCGGCATATCATATCATATCTCATATCATATATCATATCATATCGTATATCATATCATATATCAAGTTATGTCATTTTATAGTACGGTATATCACAATATCATTGTGCATATCAGCAGTGTCAACCAGGGTGTTACGGAATTTAAAAATATGGGAAATTGCTAACTGTAATTTTAAGATACACTCATAGCATAGAATATCTGATACAGCTTTACAGCTTAAATAGCAATCAAGGAATGTTGACACTTACCACAGAACAGCATTGCTATAGGTATCACAGATGACATAAAACGGAACTCCTTATGGCTGAACACACTAGAAGAGACAACATTACAACAGTACATAGTTGTTAATATTGTAACATACACATTTCACAAAAAAAAAAAAAAAACACATTTAAGGTTTGGGTAAATGGTAGTACTGGTATATGGTGAATAACTAGACATGCAAATTCCTCTGTTTGAATTTTGATTTTGATTGTGAAGGGTTATCCAAGAGTCTGTTTTCAGTACATATGCTATGACCAGATTAAATAAATAAAATTGTTTGCAAAAAGGGAAAAACTGCCAACCTTTTTAGAAAAAAAATCGTCCAGTACTGGTTTCTATTGCAAGATGTTTGAGCTCCACAACGGACCAGTAAAGTAGTACAATCATACTATGGACACATACTGATCCCAAGTACTGGTCCATAATGGAGAGGAATTTGTGCCATGAATAACGAAAATTTGTAGCTATATTTTGCACGCTTCATGTATTTTGTTTACAACCATTAGCCTTTTCACCACCAGTTCTCTCTTTTCATCACAAATTCACAAAATAGTCCTGGATATAGTCTGCACTTTTCTTCACAAGATAGGGACATAAAAAACAAAACAAATTTTTTGACTAAAAGCTGAAAATTTACTCAAATTTTGACTGTTGGCTCCAAAATTAGGGTTCATTTCCAAAAATCTTGAAGAATTTAAAAAAATTGGCAGACCAGATGGAGATCATTTTCTGTTGCCTACATATCAATGTTGTCATGGTTACTGAAAAAGACAGTTACACATGCAAAGAACCACTCTAAGAAGAATCAAATTATTTACCTATAAACCACGACTGTCCATAATAGAATATATAACAATGGACGGTACTTTTTCTCCTGCCATGCTTTCCTGACGCCAAACGACAATGGAATGAGATGCGTTCCCAAAACAATGGGTATTCCAGTAACCATGTACCAATAGAAAGGGTGAGAGCCATAATTTGAGCCAATGTCGCTGAAGAAATTGTAGTAGAAGAAATTGTATTGTACAAATATCCACTGCAAAAAAGAAATTGTTAATTAGAAGTTAAATGAAACGGCAAAAAAACAACCTAAGTGAATGGAATTTACATGGAAATTTTAATATAGAATTACGAATTCTATACAATATGGATGACCAAAATTTTGAATACAATATGACATGACCTTTGACCCTTGTCATTTTTTGATCAAGATATTTTTTTATTTTTTTCAACATTTTGTGCCAGGTGACATTAAAGTCACTCCTGTCTCTCCTGGCATTTTTATTTGTTTTTTAATTAAGTGTACGTATGCAAATCAGTCTCTCAAACTGAATACTGTGTGTTTGTAAGGCAAGACAGACTATACTCTGATTTATGCTACTGAGTGGACAGTTGGCTCGGGGAATTTAACCCCAAACCTTTCTAGTACAAAGCGAACATTTTAACCAAACAAGAGATGTTGTACATGAAAATGAGAACATTATTTCAAACAATAGCCACATAACTGGACAAAATGACATACCGGGTAGGAAGGGTACTACATTGTACTAGATTTTACAATTTGTGACCGTGTAACACCTCTCATATGATGTTATCACTTGTTTCAAGATCACTAACCTTGCCATAAAATATTCTGTCAATCCCAGCTGACCATGCAGCAGCACATATTCTATAAACAGAAATACATTTATTGAAATTTATAGGTGACAATTTTAACTTAGGAGACATACCTACTGAATATATGTGTGAATATATGAGTGCTAATCATTTGAACTGCATCTTGTATATTAGCTGTTAGGGTCTACATGACAATACTGTGTGACCATCTTCAGATCGTGAAGGCATTTTAGCAATTTAATGCATAGTTGACCACAAGTACCTGTGGCCCTTGAAGGCTTCCCCCTGAAGTCACACCATAATAGTAAATGAGTTTTATACCCAAGTTACATGTTTTTGTGTGTGCTCAATTCTAGATCACTTTTTAAATTGGAAACTTCCCATATGAATATTATATGAATATGTTTTGAAAGTGGTTCACACACACACACAGTGTAACCATACATCAGGGTGGATTGATAATGTACAAAAAAGAACACGTATTTGATAAATCTTTAGCCGACCTGTATTATGCAGTATGTTCAAATCCAAATTATCCAGAAATAAAACATGTTGAAATAGCTACATGCTATTTTAGCAAATTTGACCCAATCCATGAATTAACAGAATCTTAATTTAGCTAAAGTGCTAACAATCTTAATGTGATAATGTACCGTAGAATATTTTATTTTTGCTAGAAACTAATTTTCGCTATTTTCGCTGAAGGAATGATTCAGTGAAAATAAATTCCATACAAAACACCAAAAAAGTCTTTTCAGCTAAAATTAATTCCAGCTAAAATAAAGTATTTTACAGTATATTATTTTAAATTAGCGACATCTTGAATTGGCGAAATTACAAATTAACAAGTCATTGTCAATGACACGTCCCCGTTCCGTTCATATTTGAGTGACATATACATTCAAAGCAGATCATGACCGAAATGCACCTGCATATGTACAACACATTGTACTAAATCTGAACAAAATCCATGCATGCATGACTGAGATCCGGTTCTGGAATTGTGAAAATACGTGATTTTAATGCATTTTCGGCCTTAAAATGGCCATCATTCAGCTATTGCTAAGCGGATCATGAAACAAATGCACATATCTATTTGTGACATGATGCACCATGTGTGTGTGAAGTTTGAACTTGATCAATCCAGACATGTCTTGGATACGGATCCAGAACTGAATTCTTTAAGAAAATGGCCGCCAGTCGGCCATTTCGAACTTGATCCGAAAAAAAAAATGACGTGCATCAAGGTCCTATTATGTTTAATGTAAGTACCGAATTTGAACAAAATCCGTCCATGCATAACTGAGATCCGGGTTCGGAATGGTGAAAATG